CATTGCTCTTTGCTACCATGACAGGTGATGACAATGATCAGACATTCCAGCACTGTGCTGCCTGGCTTCATGCAGTGGGAGGCATGGGCAGAAATTCCAGGGGTTTTGGGTTTTGTAGTGTACATTTACATGAAACTGTCGAGAGTTTTCACTGACAATGGCACAGATTGAAAACGGGTTCCAGAGCGCAATGGTTCTAAGACTTACTGGTGTCTGTTGTCTTGTAAACAGAATAAATGGATCTTTTCTGTCAGGAAATCCCTAGTATGACGCAAAAGACAGCTGCTTCCTACAATCCACAGAAGAAGAAGAAACTACTGACAATGCTGGTGTTACTACAATTCGTATTTTCCCATCAGATAGAGCTCCCCAGCATCTCTTCACTATTCTACACCTCCCAGGTGGCAAAATACACACATTTGCTTGTTAAGTGCTCTTATGTCTTATCTGTGAAAGTTCAAACAACGTGTTTCAGCAAAGTTAACCCACTTTTTTCCAATTGCGCCCAAACCAGAAGCACATAGTGCGTGTTTTTCCCCCAGAATCTGGGGGAACGATATCTGATGAGGAAACTGTCATGGTCTTGGTAACATCATCAGCACACTTGGGGATGAAGCCAAGAACAGGGGAGGCCTATAGGTTCATCTCTCCTTGATAAATAGCTGCCCCTCTGAAGACCTACCAATCTGTGCACTGAAAACAGTTCTGGAGCACGCAGGCTGCATCCCTTGGCCACACAGTGACTGTCTTCTTCATTGGTCTCATCCGTCTCATAAGCAGACTCAATGCTAACTTCAGCAGGAGGGAGATGTGGCTGGAGATGCCAAGATGGGGGTGAGGAAGAACTCTGTATGTATTGTGAATGTTACTGTGCACACAGTCCAGAGGGTTGTCTCCCCATGTTGGAAAGGTGACATGCTGGTAAAAACTGGGCAGAGGGTCTGTTAGTTTCACGTGACTAAACTCCCCTCAACAGCTCCTTCGAAGCTTTGTTGCCATTAGCACCTAGGAGGATTAAACAATTGTGACAAACACTGCAGTAAGCTCCCGAGGCATACAATTCCCTGTCATGAGTTCTATTGCCTCAAAGCAGAGGGTTGTAACCAGTCCAGAGTTTGGTCACCAACTTTCATTCATATACACAGCATGGGAAGTGAAACAGGTGCTGTACCGCTCTGTCGTGGTGAAGAGAGAGAGACGAGATAAAAGGCAAAGCTCTCGATTTACCGGTGTATCTACGTTCCTACCCTCATTTATGGTCATGAGCTTTGGATCATGATTGAAAGAAAGAGGTCGCGGATACAAGTGGCCAAAATGAGTTTTCTCCACAAGATGTCTGGGATCTCTCTTAGAGATAGGGTGAGAAGCTTTGCCATGTTACCTTGCTTCTTCACATCAGGGAGCTGGGTAGAATGCCTCCTGGACTCTTCCCTGGTGAGGTGTTCTGGGCACAACCCATCAGTAGGAGGCCCAGTACGCTGGAGGGGTTATATTTCTCGGCTGGCCTGGGAAACCATTGGGATTCCCCCGGAGGAGCAGAGGGAATCCCTGGAGGCCAGTCTGGTCCTCCCTTCTTAGGCTGTTACTTCTGCGACCCGATCCCAGATAAATGGAAAAAGATGGACAAATGGATGGATTAGATTGAGTTAGAAAGTAATGTGAAAATTAATCACCATTCGGCTACAACTTTCTGACCGTGCTCCATCAAGCTACAGAGGAATATTAGATTTGCACCATTAAAAAAAACATGAAAGTGTGCATTACTGCCACCAATTGGTCTGGAGTGTGAACTGGAGCTAATACTGTTCACTAATAGAATTTAAATTTGAAAATAGGTTGTTAGTTAAAAAGCTGAGAAAAACACATCATATTGACAGATGTAAAACTGAATGCCTTCTACATTTAGACTTAGGTTTTACAGCAAAAACATTGCTGGTTCTTTTCACTAAACTGTCAAAATTACAAAATTGTGTATTTATGTTTCTATTTATTTATCTTTGTTAATCTGCTCTGTACAGTTTCTGAAAAAAACAGACAGTGGTTTGGATTTGGGGAGATCGAAGGTCTTGCACTAAATGTAGCGAAACAAGCCAAGCGAAATGATCCAAAATGCCAACATGCAGTGACCGGCTGCTGCCAGGAAGACACAGGAAGATGCAATTTTATATTTTGTAGATTTGTTCTAAAGAAGTATGTTTTTTCTTTTCTTTACAAAATTAAAGTCTTTGGCGCTCAGGCCCTAGCTGAGGACATCGATTATCGCAAAACTTTTTGCGATAAACTCGGATGAGCATTCCCGATGCTGATAGGAACGTCATCCCCCAGGGACCCGCACTAGTGGTGGAGGTTGGCTGGGCGAGTGGAGGGGGGGAGATGGTGGGTTGAGCTCTGCTGGAAAGCGGAAGATGCCATGGATGGAGGTCCTTATCAGCTGGGACTTGGACGGTGATTGGACGTGACGTGTCTTGGACCAGCGTTGATTGGTCGACGGTGATGAGCAGGATGCACCAATTGGAAGATTCAGGTGGGACTAGGAAGACTCTTCCAGTTTGAATTTGCACCTAGGCTTCATTTTTTTTAAATGTACATTTAAAACACATTCAAAGCTTATTTTCAAATTGGATTGAAAAATGTATTTTAGTAGAAAATCTACTAAAATAATTTTTTAAAAATAGTTCTAGAAGCATGTTTTTAACAATATATTTTATATTTTTAGTATAATCTTAAGTATATTCACTTAAGAACATACTAAAATGTGTTTCAGAAAAATACAGCATATTTAAAATATCATCTTGTAGACACAACTCTCCATTGATCTGTCGCTGCATCTCTCTGGAATCCTTAATCACATAAAGAAAGAATGTCAAATCAATGAACAAAGAAACTGAGACAGCGTTGTTGATATTAGAAAAATATGATGAATCTGGGACAGCCCAAAGACTGAAAATGAAGGACGAACTTTTGCTTGTCAGATCTAACAGGATCCAAACAGACTCATGTGAAGAGCAGTCAAATAATGTCATTAGATCTAAATAGGCTCATTAATTTATTGATGTTTGTGACGTTAGGATCTGTAATCTTTTTTATATATAGACTTCTTACCTCTTGGCTTATCTTTTCAATTTCTTTTTAAACAAACATGAGTTGGCAATATAGAGAAGTTTACATGCTAAATTTGTGTTAAAAAGAAAGGATACAAACAAATACAGATAAAAACACACATCGTTGGATCCAGGGATTTATGCATGAGGACAGAAATCTGATCTATTTTTATTCTAAAATTATTCAGACATCATCTGAATAATTTTCAGAATTGCATCACATAGAAAACAACCGCAATCGTAATTAATCACTTGATAACACAATTCATTTTTAAAAACCCATAGTAGTTTTTATTTTGACTCAGTGTGACTTATTTATATAAAATGATTTGAGTTCTTCTATAAAACGAGCAGTACGTAAGCTTAAAAACAAATGTAAAACACCTATTGGTGAACTTTATTCATTTATTTATTTAATATTCCTATGTTCTTATGCTGCTACACCGCGACCCAAACCGGATAAGCGGCAGACAATGAATGAATGAGTGAATGGACGGACGGATGGATGGATGGATGGATGGATGGATGGATGGATGGATGGATGGATGGATGGATGGATGGATGGATGGATGGATGGATGGATATTTCTTGGCGGTATGAAAATAGGTAAACAGCTTACATAAACAACATGGTTTATAAAACTAGTCTGGGATCCGTACAAAAATCGTTAAAAGTTACGTTTTGTAATCACGTTTCATATGGTAACCATTTGAGGTTATATGAACCTCAAAGCATCCAATAAATGTCATATCAATCCATCAATTCCGCGTAGTCGCGACTGTCTTCAACTTCCAATGCCGGTTATTGAATTGCAATAGCCCTGGTTTTAAAACTAAAGTTTAGTTTTAGTTTTAAAACCAAAATGCCACAATATTATCAAAGTGCAAATATATACACTATGGTCAAACAAAAAGAAAAGAAAAAAAAAATAAAATATGGATTCGTATAAGTTCCTTTCATAACGTCATAGCTACGACATAGTATTTGGATCTGCATTCTCTGGCGTGTAGAATCAGTGTCCCGAACCAAATCCCCGGTAGAGTCCAGACGGTTCTCTCTGCATGCACAGCTCCCAGACGCCAGAGGGCGCACTGGCGCGTGTCAGAGCTGCAGCTGCCTGCCTGCTCAGGCCAGGACTTTTCAAGCTTTCTGCTGAAAAACTTCCATGTTTTAGTGGGTTTCATTCATCGTGCCTCTCATGAACCATGCTGCATCGTTCTCCTTTGGTTCTTGCACTGAATTACTGAGTATTTGGAAAGTCTTGTGTTGAAGTTGGAAAAAGTTTCGGTTCAATAATAAAATAGCTGCATCTCATAGATTTCTGCTTGTCCGCAGTGGACTTGAAGTACTGAGGCAACATTGGTTGCATCCATTTGAGGACATTCTGAATATGTCATTATGATGTGCCAATAAAAACTCAATATCAGCATGTCATACATGTCTTCTGTCTAGTCGTTAATTTACCGCTGAGAGTCACTTAGAAAGGAAATGTAAAGATTAAAGTAGCCCAAGTGTTCCTTCAATAGGTCATATATTAAAACACAATGTGTGTTTTCTGGGGGGGCAAAAACACGACAAATATCTAATTTAGTACAAGTCATAAGAGAGCAAATTAAAGCTGGATAACCTATTTAGCAGCAGTAGGCCTGCGTGTGTGTGCGCATGTGTGTGTGTGTGTGGCGGGGTGGGGTGGGCGAGGGGTGGCGCGTGCGTGTGTGGGCGTTCGTGTCTGAACCGGACAGGGTATGCAGAGCCAATCCGCTACTCATGCATATGACGTGCTGATGTCCTACGTCAGCCCAGCCGCTTGCCAGGATCAGAGCTCCACACACACACACACACACACACACACACACACACACACACACACACACACACACACACACACACACACACACACACACACACGCACACACACGCACCGGTGGGAACCATACACACACTTCGTCGCTGAGGCTGGACACCAACGCTCCCGGCCCGGTAACGGAGCACAAATCCAGGCTTCCAGGCGCCGCAGCCCGCTGTGAAAGTGGACTTTTCATCGCCTTTCTTTTTCGATATGGGAGACATGGGGGATCCTCCGAAAAGTAAGACACTTGTTCTGGGTCGGGATGCGAAGCTCATATCTTAAATTGGGGACTTTGGAGTTGTGCTGTCATGTCTTCAGAAGACTTTCTCTGAGCCCTGAAAGGGTCGTTAGTTTGAATAAAATGATAAAACAATTGTTTTCTAATCCAGGTTAATTCCTATATTTTTTTCACCACACAATAATAATAATAATAATAATAATAATAATAATAATAATAATAATTGAACAGCGTTTGATGTATCCCATTCTGGGTCTCTTCTTCCAGAGAAGCGACTGGTGTCTCTTTGCGTGGGCTGCGGGAACCAGATCCACGACCAGTACATCTTACGGGTATCTCCGGACCTGGAGTGGCATGCCGCTTGTCTCAAGTGCGCGGAGTGCAGTCAGTACCTGGACGAATCATGCACTTGCTTCGTCAGGGATGGAAAGACTTATTGTAAACGGGACTACATCAGGTAGGACGGCCGGGACGCGATGGAACGGGATGGGACGGGATGGGACGGGATGGGACGGGACGCCTCTGATGCTACAAGGACTGGAGCAGCTCGGCGATTGGAATTATTGTTGTTTTCAATATTTTATAAGATCCATCAGAGATTATTCTGAGTGACTTTGCATCGCGTGGAGTTCTGGTTTCACCGGGTTCATGTTTGAAATATTGTGCGGTGATACAAAAAACTTGTTGAACAACTTAAAAAGTGCAGCCTCAACTAATTCTTCAACTTAAGCTTTGGAAGATGCACTTCAGAAGACTAAAAAATAAGATTTAAAAATTTAGTAAGCAACGAACAGATCAGCGTGAAACCCTTTGAATCAAATGGGAATTTATTAAGGCACCGCACAGCACCGCACAGCACAGCACCGCGCCGCGCATGTTCCAAACATTTCAAGATGACAAAATAAAATTATCCGTTTCATATATATATATATATATATATATATATATATATATATATATATATATATATATATATATATATATATATATCTCCAAACGAATAGGCCTATTATTATATTGATATCATATGTGCTAGTGGTAGTAGTAGTAATAATAATAACAACTTATTATTATTATTATTACTATTATATTATTATTACTTTTAATAATAATAATAATAATAATAATAATAATAATAATAATAATAATAATAATAATAATAATAATAATAATAATTTGAAAAAAAAAATCCACCTAGAATATCATTTTCATATTTGGATTTTTTGCTTAATACGTGTGAATGTGTGTGGTTGCCCCGCAGGTTATACGGGATTAAATGCGCTAAATGCAATATCGGATTCAGCAAGAATGACTTCGTCATGAGGGCTCGCTCCAAAGTCTACCACATCGAGTGTTTCCGCTGCGTGGCCTGCAGCAGGCAGCTTATCCCGGGAGATGAGTTCGCTCTGCGGGAAGACGGGTTGTTCTGCCGCGCTGACCATGATGTGGTGGAACGGGCCAGCCTCGGCAGTGGAGATCCGCTCAGTCCCCTGCATCCGGCCAGACCACTGCAGATGGCAGGTAGAGTCCCGAGGGTAGACCCCCACAGAGGGAGATCAACCTGGTCTGAGCTATTATTTTGTCTGCATTGCGTTCCCTAAAAAAACAACAAAAAAACAAACACAACAAAAACTAAGTGTGTGTGTGTGTGTGTGTGTGTGTGTGTGTGTGTGTGTGTGTGTGTGTGTGTGTGTGTGTGTGTGTGTGTGTGTGTGTTTTAGGAGGGCAGGGGGAAGTGTTTCGTTCACGCTGTCCAGGTTTGATGTATAGCCTATGCATTGTAAGATGGGTTAAGGACCCTTCAATCACCGTGAAGCTGCTCCTGATTCTTTCACAGACAAGTGGGTGTGTTCTTATAGTGCGCAGTGTCTGCAGGTCTGACCAGATCAGGGTCGCTAGATTAGATAAAGCGGATGCTGCTGTCCGAAATAGGCTGCAAAGTTATCCCAGCTGGGGGAGGACGGCTATTATATCTGGGCTGATGCGGGACATTCAAGACTTTCATTTGTTGTCCGTAGACCCGAAAAATACAGACATGTTGTCTGACGGAGATTTATTCTAAGAAAAAATATTGGGGCTGAACTAATACACACACACACACACACATTTTATATATATATATATATATATATATATATATATATATATTATATATATATATATATATATATATATATATATATATAAAATAAAATATGTATTTTTAAACAACAAATAAAATGACGGGCAAATTAATGGAATTTCTTTGCTAAATAAATGGCAAAGAATGAAACAGATGGTTAATGCTGCTAAATCCGTCTCTTCTGGATGTTCATCACACCGATCAGCTGCTTGCTGTAATTCTGCCGCTTTCTGCTCAATGTTCCCAAACAGCAGAGCCTATCTCAGCGCGGCAGCCTGCACTCAGACCCCACGTCCACAAACAGCCAGAGAAGACCACCCGGGTCCGGACGGTGCTGAACGAGAAGCAGCTGCATACGCTGCGGACCTGTTACAACGCAAACCCGAGGCCCGACGCACTGATGAAGGAGCAACTGGTCGAGATGACCGGCCTCAGCCCGCGAGTGATCCGCGTCTGGTTCCAGAATAAGCGGTGCAAGGACAAGAAGAAAAGCCTCCTGATGAAGCAACTGCAACAGCAACAACCCAACGACAAGACGGTGAGAGCGCCGACCTGTTGCTGAACAGTTCAGACTCCCGACTGAGCTGCAAAGTCCCGAAACAAAGCCGTCAGTCTTCCTGCAGCAGGAATGCCACAATGTTTGATCCCATACATTCTGATAACGAAATTAACACCAAGAGGTAAAACTGACTCGTTCAAGAAGTTATTAACTTCAGCGGTTCGTGTTGTGCAGCTTGTTTCTGCTAATTCACAGTATGCACACACCCCTCCCCTCACCCTTCCACCCCTTTCCTCACTCACACGTAACCTCCAACGCATATCCTTGAGATGATGCTGGAGGTGTGTGTGACCGCTAACCATGACCCCTCCATGCAGAACATCCAGGGAATGACGGGCACCCCGATGGTGGCGGCCAGCCCGGAGCGACACGACGGCGGCATCCAGGCCAACCCGGTGGAGGTGCAGAGCTACCAGCCGCCCTGGAAGGTCCTCAGCGACTTCGCCCTGCAAAGCGACATCGACCAGCCGGCCTTCCAACAACTGGTTCGTTGTTTTGTGTTCACGATCTCTGAAAGCTTTCAAATCTGACACGCTTATTTTGGCCTTCAGCGTTTTGCACTTTAATATTGACCAGCTGGGGTTCCTCTTCTTCTGTTTGGTTTTTGAGTTTCGAATATAACAAGTTTCTGAAAGACCATATTGTTCAATAAATTGCAACTTGACAATTCAAGACTTTTGTTTGCTGTTTTTTCGCTGGGCTCACAGCTGATCCCTCTTCCGCTTTTAAACATTTTACTTTTTCACTTTTAACTCCTGTAGCCAAAAAACAAAAAAACAAACAAAAACGGTTGGAGCAAAGAGCGCGTTCTAATGAGATCCTTCAACGCGGTCTGCATTGTCCTGCTGCAGCCTGTCCAGGTCTGCATTGTCCTGCTGCAGCCTGTCCAGGTCTGCATTGTCCTGCTGCAGCCTGTCCAGGTCTGCACTGTCCTGCTGCAGCCTGTCCAGGTCTGCATTGTCCTGCTGCAGCCTGTCCAGGTCTGCATTGTCCTGCTGCAGCCTGTCCAGGTCTGCATTGTCCTGCTGCAGCCTGTCCAGGTCTGCACTGTCCTGCTGCAGCCTGTCCAGGTCTGCATTGTCCTGCTGCAGCCTGTCCAGGTCTGCATTGTCCTGCTGCAGCCTGTCCAGGTCTGCATTGTCCTGCTGCAGCCTGTCCAGGTCTGCATTGTCCTGCTGCAGCCTGTCCAGGTCTGCACTGTCCTGCTGCAGCCTGTCCAGGTCTGCATTGTCCTGCTGCAGCCTGTCCAGGTCTGCACTGTCCTGCTGCAGCCTGTCCAGGTCTGCACTGTCCTGCTGCAGCCTGTCCAGGTCTGCACTGTCCTGCTGCAGCCTGTCCAGGTCTGTATTGTCCTGCTGCAGCCGCGTCCAGCTGACTGTCGGACGCCTCTGAGATTTTAGTTTTCTGCTCGGAATGTGAGCTCTGCCGCCTTTCTGTACATTTAACATTTAATTGAGCGTTTAGGGATGCAGCTGAAATTGAGACACTACTGTTGGCTTCCTTTATTCAATTTCTGTTGATTTTTGTGTCATGTTCCTATTGGATTTATTTGAAACGGGACCGAAAAGCAGCTGGAATTTGTAGACTGAAAGAAAAACCCACGAGTTGGTCACTCGTGGGTTTTTCTTTTTTTTCTCGCTTCAGATCATTTTGCTGTAGGTATTTTTTGGTAAAATGGGAATTAAGTCATCTATTTTTGGCTTAGCTACGGGAAAACTTGAGTCTTTGCTTTGTAAAGTTGTGATCCTAAAACTCTTGAGGAAATTGAAACGTGTTTCGATTTTCTCTCCCATTCGAAGTGAGTTTAGTTTTTGCGCATTTCCAGACAGGATCTGCGCTCCGCTCCGCTCCGCTCTGCTCTGCTCTGTCTAACCGCTGCCTGATGCTCCTGCAGGTCAGCTTCTCAGAGGGAGGACCAGGTTCCAACTCGACAGGCAGCGAGGTAGCATCCATGTCCTCCCAGCTTCCCGACACGCCGAACAGCATGGTCTCCAGCCCCATCGAGGCCTGAGGACTGCGGGACACACAGCCCGACCATCCCACTCCTCCTGACTGGCTGTACTTTGACACTGTGAAGACAATCATGGGATTTACTCCGGCCAACCATCCTAACTTTAACTCGGAGCGCAGACGGACGGGCGGACATGATGAGCGGTGCTGCCTGCTTTCAGTTGCCAAAAGGAGAAGAGAAAAGGAAGCGGACCTCTGACAGGGAGCGCAATCTAATTCACGTAGGCCTACTTTCGATATGTTGAGCATTGAATAGAAAACGGTGGTATTTTTAACCCGCTTCATGCACACCATATAGGCTAAGAAATCGTTTGGATCCGTCTGATTCCTTCATTTGACTGACATCCTTTCTGCCCCGAGGCCTGAGGCATTTTAAACAAGGTATACCTCTAGTTTGCCACAAACGTTGTGGGACATTTGTGCGTTAGCCTATAGTGTCCGTCCAATTATAGGCTATTTTTTCTTTCCCAAAGACATGTAAATTATTCAGTTAGTTCTCTGCAAGAAACTGTATTGTTGTTTCCCGTGCAACAGAATTATTTATTATTTATTGCCGATAAATTTGCCACCTTTTGTGTAACTTTCGTAACTGAAGTAAAAAGAAACAAAAAGAAATATGCAGTTTGGTGTTTGGACTTTAGTTTACATTTTAGTTTTTTCTTTCATATATTTAATATCAATGACAAAAAGAAGATTTTTTTACTGAGTTTTCTACGTAGCCTATACTAAGGAAAGTGTCTTATTATCAGGTGTTGACGAGAGAACGAAAACGATCTTGCATTTTTTTTCTTACCACAATTTCGAAATTTTGTTCTACAGCACAACACGTTCTTTTTCATAAACTTTCTATCATAAACTTTCTATCATAGACTTTCTATCATAGACTTTCTATCCTCACGCCTTTCAGAGTGAAGTGTTCTGAGGCCTGCGGTTCTGATTTGACCGAGTTCACATCAGCCCAATAGTTCTCCGATGTTTTATACCAAGGATTAGCCTCGTTTTTGTCACCTAAAATAATAGTATAAAATAAAATGATAAAAAAAAAGACAGGCAGAAAATGCAGCACTATATGGAGAGCCACTATTTTATTAACATTTTAACCTTTTTACTACTTAAAGAAAATTAATGTGCGCAAGCAAGAAATGCAAGTCTAAAAACGGTCTATGGTAAAAAAAAAAAAAAAAAAAAAAAAAAAAAACAAAACAAAAAAACACAAGACTAATTTATTATGTGTCCTTTATTTTTATGTCCCTGACAAGGTTTTCATTCTTATCTGATTAATCAGTGTAAGAGCTGATTAATGAGCTTCCAGCATTTCTGCTCAACAGTTAGAAATAGTTAGTAAAGGTGGAGGAAGCGACGGAGCGTCATGACTTGTAAGTCCAGCTCTGTTACTCTGTTTAATGTTGATTTGAACATTTCCTTGCTGAGCTTTGATCTGCACTCAGATGAATGCCAGAAGCTACAAAGCCACCTGATTTCATTTATTCATCTTTGTTTTCAGATTTGATCACAATTATAATTAGTTTCTATAAAATCTCTAATGTGGTGTTGTTAAAAACATGCACAACATTTAACTCTTTAGTTAAATCAAGAAATTGGTTATATAACCACATAATGCTGCATATTTAAGAGATATTTTGTTTCCTTTTGTGGATGTTAACACAGTTTGTGAAAGCTTGGAAGAAAAATGAAGAGCAGATCATGCAGAAATCCATAAACAGAGACACCAAGTTGTTTCAGTAATTATTCATCTGGTCAAATATCTATGTTAGGACAGAATCTTTTCATTTAGCCATTAAAATTCACTTTACTTCACCAACACATCACCTCAGAGAATGTTTTTTTGCACCGCAAAGTTAGTTTCACCTGAGCTGTCTGAATCTTTGTGCAAAGGGCATAACTGTGATTGTGGAAAAAAATATATTTTAGTATGAAAAAAAAGAAATATCTGTGCCAATATTGTATGACATCATCACTGTCTCCTCGTGAAATGTCGTTTTGTCTTTGGTGAAACTTGCTAAGTTGAGCTTGATAATTCAGATGGCCACCAGAGGTTGCTTTTTGAGCAGATACAAACATAAGATCAAACAACTCCACAGGGACCTGAACTATGAAGAAGGGCTTTCAGGGGTTACCTCAGATTGAACTCCAGGCCTGAATACGATGCCATGGTGTTTTACAGCACACCTATCCTGCAGCGGAGCACCTTATGCTGGAGACCAGATATCACCAGCTATAAAAAGAACGCCTATTCGTCAATCAATGTTCTTGAAAACTGAGTGGTGATGGGAGAAAAAAAAAAGAAACTGTGTGTTATCAGTGAGGATTTGCAGACCTGGGGGGATAAGGAATGAGGGCTGCTGCTGGGAGAATCTGCTTTGAAGCATATAAGACTTAGACTTATCTGTTTTTCAGTTAACTCAGTTGTATATAGTACTCCTGTAGTTTAGTGCAATCTTTAATTTATTTATTTATTGAAAATGATACTACATAAAAATCTCCTATATTCAACATACTGTGGACGAGAAAAAAAAAACAAGCAAATACCATAAAATCGACAAAAATAGTAAAGCTCAAATGTAGCAAATTATATTATATTGATATACAACTATTGTACAGTTAAAAAAGCAAGGAAAGAGAAATTAATATTAAATATGTCCAGTTGCTATTGTTTATGTCATGAATGGAATCACACCAAAACTGATGTTGCAGGTAAACATGGGAAAACGGTGGTGGTGGTGGTGGAGGGATTTTGTCATTTTGGTTGAGCACATTATATTCTTTATAATTGTCAGACACTTACAACGTTTGTAAAAGGTCAGAGTGAGCAGAAGGAAGGAGTCAGAAACCAGCAGGTCTGACTGTGGAAACCTGGATCTGAAGCGTCTATATAAACTGCAACTGTTAAAGGCAAAACGTCTTGTGACCGACGCCTCTGCTGAACATGCAGATTATAGTTTTGAGCAAATTTTTAAATGTTGCATTTCATCCCAGCAAATGAGGTATACGCTAGCCATTGCAACAATGTCTACAAACCTCAGGCTGTTTATGGCTGAATTAAAGTCTGTAAAACAAGACAGTTTATCTCTTCTGCTTGATGACAAACATGTTGGATATAGAATTCACTTTCAACATGAGGCTCAGAGTTTTAGAGCAAGTAGGTTCATTATACAAACAGTTCTACCTAGGGGGCGTGCAAAAAAATGTGAACAGGGCAAAATGATTACATTGTTCCCCTTCCAAAAAGAGACGAATGAGCTTGGAGAATATGGATGATTTCCATTGCACAGGAAGTTAGGATGGAACCCTAACAGTGATGTTTTGTTTGGAAAAATTGGTGTTTATTGACACAAAAGTAATGGCGATGGATATTGTACTGTGCCAAACGTGCTGCAGAAGAACTGTAAACCTCCAATAAGGTAAAATCGAAACTCCTAATTTGAACCTGTGATATCCAACTGTGCATTGCGCAAGAGCCCAATGACACCAGGTAATCCAGGTAATTACATTCAGTTTACACTGTGTAATTGCAGTTACGGTTACAACAGCTTTATCTATATTGTGAAGGCCAGTATTGCTCTGCACAGCAGGTTGTGACAACAGATGCTGCCACTGCAGACGCATCAAACTACATTCCTCCCACAGCAAGATGGCCAAGGACCAACCTGGGGGATCACTATGGCTTGAAGCTTATGCAACTATTGCTGCAACAAATGACCTCAAGAATTCACTTTAGCTCATCAGGGTGCAGGACCTGTGCCCTGTCAGTACGCTCTTATTTACAAAGATGTAACAAAGAGGGATGGCATAAAATATGTCCATGTTAAACTAATGAATTAGCTTTTTTACTAAACAATTTCAATATTTACCCAAACAAACCAATATACAGATACTAAAACAACTTCATTTTCACATTTTAGATACAAAAAGTGTTAACTGTTAGTACAAGTTACAAGTTTTACATGGATGTTTACAGTGAAATTATGTTGTTTTGAATGTAGCATGAGTTCATGGCAGTAGAGTATGGCAAGCCTTTTTAACATAAATTCGGTTTTACTGCCCTTGCATTCCAGATATCTCAATTTGTTTTATGACTAGACGTTTTAGAAATTTAAGATATCTCTAATTACATTCTGACTAGTCGAAATGACGTCAGATTTACCATTGTTTTGTATGGGGACTTCAATTCAAGATATCTGCAATGAATTACTGACTATCTGAAATAAACATTTCAGATATCTACAATTAAATTATGACTAGTCAAAAAGTAAATTCAAGATATCTCGATTGTAGTTTTGACTAGTCATAATTTTAATCAAGCTATTTCTAATTAGTCTATAATTCAAGATATCTTAAATGTATTTTTGGATCGGAGAAATATAGTTTTGACTTGTGGAAATTAAATTATAGATATCTTTTTTTTATTTTTATTTTTTTTTATTAGATTTTAACATCAAAATACAAAATATGCAAAAATATATAAACAAGACATGTGGACTTTTTTCTATAACAGAACCAAACATAAGTCATACAGTACACATGAATAAGCCTTCCCAAATACAATCCAGAGGAGTAAAACACAAAAAGAAAAAAAAGGGGGGAAAGAATTAAGAAAAGTGTACATCAATGGATATTAATGACAAAATAAAAATATAATAGTAATGTAAATAAAAATAAAAAGGTCAGGCAAAAGTAAAATTTAGTTGGGCACCATACGGGACGGCAACGTCTGAATAAAATCAAAAAACGGCTGCCAAATCTTTAAAAAAAATTGTTGTGGAACCTCGAAATAAAATTCTACAGGCAACTGTTTGGACAGCACAAAGGGGCTTCCATGTCATTCTTAATTCAGATATCTAAAATTGTAATTTTGACTAGTGATAATTACGTAGAAGATATCTTAAATCGTAATTCCGGATACGTGTCTCATCAAATTGCAGATCCAGTGACGTCATTTGAGATACCTTGAAAAGAATTTTGACTAATCAAAATGTAATTGAAGATATCTTGAATTATTATTCTCACTAGTCAGAATGGAAATGCAGATATCTTAAATTACCATTCCGGATAGTCAAAATGTAGTTTTGTCGAGTCAAAATGCATTTTTAGATATCTGGAACGTAATTACGGATAGTCAGACGGAACCGAATTTATGTTACAACGGCTTGCCATAGAGGAGTGTTATTTCCTTTACCCACTTCTCTACATTGGTTGCCAGCGTTTCCACAAACCCCTGAACACTGTAATTGAATACATTACAGTGTATTTTCAATGTTTTTTCTCAAATATTTTTAGTATGTTATCAAGTGGATATAATTAAGATTATATTAAAAATGTGAAATGAAAACATTTTTAAAACATCCTTCTAATATTCTTTTTAAAAAGTATTTTGGCACATTTTCAGCAGGTGAAATTTTTCTACAATAAACTTCAAGTTTTAATTAAATATATTAGTCAAACTATACTTTGGATAGTTGTTTTAATAATACATCTTGCATATATTTAAAAAATTGTATATTTTAAATGTACATTTTAAAAATATATTACAAATATATACAAAGAATACTTTTCTGAAGTTTTATTTTTGGCAATATTTTCAAAACAATTCTTGTATATGTAATGAACCTTGATAAATCTCAAAATAAATATATTTCATTAATATTTGTAAATATTTTGTAAATACTTACAAATTATATTTCAATATAACACTTTCAGTGTTTACATGCATGCGACCTTATGCTAATAAAGTATGGCTTATTAAGTGCCTTAATAATCTTTTGCTGTTTTGTTAAAATGACAGAAAATAAACAATTCTTATAGCAGAAGTTAAGGACTGCACTGTAATATCGTTTAAAAAAGTAATAAATAATTACTTTATTATGTATTATTTTTGCCCTGGCAGAGCAGTACTACTTTGCCTTTCAGTACTAACATCAAAAACTGATATTTTATTAACAGAGGTTCTTCAGCAAAAACATAATTGGTCCTTAACACTAAATTTAGAAGGCATCTTCAGTTTGACATCTTTCTGAATGTTATCTGTTTTTATCAGTTCTTAAACTAAAACACAGAAGCTATATTTACCCAATTTACTTTCAGATGTAAATTCTACTAGTGAATAGCCTTAGCTTCAGTTCACACACCACACCAGATAACGATAAAAATAACTAGTGGAAGAGGAACAGCATTACTTTGATGCTGGTAAGAAGAATAAAGGCTCTTTAAATTCATAACTTTTACTTGGACAATATTGCCTTGAAAGAAGAGAGCAAATTGATAATAGTTATTAGTTTTGGTAAATTCAAGTAAATTCTGCAGAGTTAAATCAACACTTTGCCGAAACTATTTGGTATTTAGCAGAACTGGTGTTAATTGAACTCTTTCACAGAGTTAAAACTACTCATTTTCTAGTTGAAGTAACAGTTGAAAAAGTTATAACTACTCCAACTTTTGTTGAAATAACTCTGAAAAGAGTGAAATTTAACTCTGCAGAATTTACTAGGAGTATTCCTAGTAGACCAAGATAGACAACAACACAAGACAAGAACTGGATGGAAATAAAATGTGGGTCACAAATGGGAAGGAAGGCTGCTGCCACCGCGGCTACCGCCGCCGCCGCTGCAGCCGCTGCTGCCTCTGCAGCCGCTGCTGCCGCTGCTGCCGCTGCAGCCGCTGCTGCCGCTGCTGCCGCTGCTGCCGCTGCTGCCGCGTTTGTTCTGAACGTTTGTTCTGAAACAAACGTTCTTGTTTGTTTCAGAAGTAGTCATTTGATCAATTTTATTGTGACTATTATAACAATCATTCAACTTCATGTTATAACTGTATGGCGGCTCTGTTTGTTGCGATTTGATATAGTTTTCTTAATGAACTTAACCTGGTTTTAATAAACCATGCCAAAGAGTCTTTGATATTGTGAGGCACTGATTAGAAGTCGTTCATAGCTGTTTTTATCTCTAATATGTTATTGCAGTCTAAGGAAATCAAGGTGGAAGAGGAAGCCAGTGATCAGGTATTAGAAAACATGAAGACTTTCCTGTCTCAGCAGAGGCAGAGGTTCTGGCTCCACCAGATCACCACACCCGTTCTGAGAATGAATCGCTACAATGTCTTCATGCTTGTTTTTCTTTAGGTTTTGTTGGCTCCAGTGGAACCCATTTGAAAGTAGTCCAACGGGAAAGGCAATGAGAGGGGTGGAAGACATACAGCAAACGTCACCAGGCCGGGAATCGAACCCACGACCACCACCACAAGGACCAAGGCCTCCATACATGGGTCGTGCCCCACCCCTGCTCCACCACAGCACCAGGCCTTGCTACATTTTAACAGCAAAAGCTGGTGTGTTTCTGACACCACAAAGTGCCTATAATTATTTGAAAATAATTGAACAGAATTTCAGAACTAGAAGGAACCCGTCTGGGATGATTGGCGATTTATGACATGGCGCGATATCCTGCTGAAGGTCGCCAGCAGAAGATGGTACGCTGTGGTCATAAAGGGATGAACATGGTCAGCAACAATACTCAGGTAGGCTGTGATGTTGACACGATGCTCAATTGGTACTAATGGACCCAAAGTATGCCAGGAACATATCTACCAAACCAGTGCAGCACCACCACTAGCCTGAGCCGTTGATACAAGGCAAATGGATCCACACTTTCATACTGCTGATGCCAAATTGTGACACTACCATTCAAATGTCACAGGAGAAATTGAGACTCATCAGACCAGGCAATGTTTTTCCAATCTTCCATAGTCCAATTTTAATTTTAATCTTGCATCATTTTGTGTCAACCTCCAAGATGCTCTTCTTTCTGATCAGAATCCAGTGAAATTGTGCTGTTTAGGTCTGTCACACAGATACTGCTGCTAAAAAAAGTAAAAAAAAAAAAAAAACTAATTTCCAGGCAACAAGTTTGGCGATATTGTGTTTGACTTGCTACCTCCAAAGTTGGACTTAATCACCAGCATAGTTACAGACCATGGAATGGCCCACAACTATTCAATTTATCTCAGTAACACCTAGAATTTGCTTCCACAACATGTAAGGAATATATTAAACAGTTCTCTGTCTGCTG